ATATGCAATAGTTTTGGGGATTTTTTTTGGCAAGCTCAGTTCTGAGATTTATTTCTTTCTTATACCCCTGGGCACTGCATGCTCCCAAACCAAAACCATTTCCACAAGAGACCAGATTTCATGTTATGCTCAGTCAAATAGTTGGGTAGTTTGCATTACCAAGAAACACCTGTCCTGCAACAGCTCATGAGCAGTTAATGCGGCTTAATTCACTCTTTGATCTGTGTTTTGGATTCTGCCTTTTTACCCCCGTGTTCTACCCTACTTTTCTTTCCTGGTGCAGCTCAGTTCACTTCATTGCAATACAATTCTTGGGATCAGTTCCCAGGAAACGTAATTTTTCAGATGTGGCTGTCTGTGCTGGTAGACCATATGCCTTCTAGGGAAACTGGGTAAGTTACTTCTTCTCAAAACGGGCCAGCTGAAAGCAACCCAAAGCTTTAGTTACAGAAAACTGCGTGCTTTAAGTGTTTGCTACATGTCTTGACCTGCCCTTGAATGAACAGGACCCAGGCTGGAAAAGGCTGCTATTTATCTAGATTTTTAGAGAGAAGCTACCTGCTTATTTGGCAACTCATTGCTTGATTATGTTGCTTGTTGTCTTTATCTTTTTTTTTCTCCTTTTTTTCCCTCGAACACCACTTTAAGCTTAGTCTTCCAGTAATTCCAAAACTGGTATATATTACTGAGATTGAGGAGAGAGCTTCAAGCATATGATCCCAGGATACAAGACCCTTTGTTCTGTGAGCTGGGTGATTGCTCCAGGCCATCCAAGGCTTAACCCTGGAGAGTTTGACTGATTTAAATTTAATTGTATTATAACCAGTACTCCAGCAAAGGCAAGACCTCTGCCAGGAACAGGAGAGAAAACCTCACCATTAAAATGACCTTAAATGGAGAAGAAAAATGCCTCAACAAAATAACCAACCTCAAAACATTTATTTGCGACCCACATTGAAAGCTCCATTTAAGCTGTATGTAGTTTAGTTAGGGCCACAGAAAATGACAAATGGAACACTTGTCCTGGGTCTCAGAGTAATGTCTTTGGGCAGACTGGAATGTCTTGATGTGAGCATGACAGCAAATTGGCAGAAGGAAGGGAGAGGGGATCGCTGTCATACTGTCTTGGGCTCTTTACACCTCTGATGTGAGCAGCCACAGCAGAGGATGAATGTTCCTTCTTGTTGTAGGATTCACTGCCTTGAAGAGTTTGGGTAGATGGTAAAAGTTTCTGTAGCTCTGCCCTATAAAACAAGGTTGCTTCTCAAGCACATCTCAGATGATACTGGTCTGACTGCGCTATAATGTTTGGAAGTACATGCTGGCACTGGTACTGGCCACCAGATGTGAGTGGCTGTATTTTAATTACTTGCAGACATCTGCTTCATTGAACCACAACAATATCCCATTTAGGTGTTCCTGAAGTTACTCCCAGTGGCAGGCTCTGATCCATCCCTCCTATTAGTGCAGCTAAGCAAGGGGACACTTCTGCTCTTTATGGCCACATATATTCCACCTTAAGGACTTGATTGTTAGAAAACGGCACTGTCAGTTTGCTACAGCAAAATGTATATCCAGAAAACATGTGAGAACTTGGCTTCGTGGTTTAACTTTGTATACAGCAGCATCCAGAGAGCAGAAATACCCAGACAGATCAAAAGCAGTGAAAGATTGCTGATCTAATTCATCAGCTGGTAGTAAGCCTGGAGTCTCCCCAGGTTTATATTTCCATAATTTTGTTTTAACTGCTAAAGGAGCCCATTAACAGCAAATAAACTGATAAAACATTGCTGCAGTTCTAGGAGGCAGATTGTAGCTGGCTTAATCAGTTTTTTTTTTTTTTTTTTTTTTTTTTTTCCAGGGGGTGGTGGTCTCCCTCTGCATCTCTGGGCAGGAAGTGTTAAAGCTAGATAAGAAATGCAAAGACCTCTCTCTCTGGGTCAAGTAAAGCGTTGTCTTTTGAGCCTCAGCATTCTTGACTAAAATAGATTAGAGGCGTAAATGATATAATGAACTAGTGAGTTGACTTGAGCATTTACTCCACCACATGATGCCTGAGAAAGGAGGATGAAGTCCTGCATATGACTGGTGCTTGACCAAAACAGCCCGCGGTCAAAATACAGAGGCACAAAGTCAAAGTTCTGTTCCAGCCCACCTCTATATGTTGTCCCTCCCTGCGCTACACGGTGTGATGGAGGACATGCATCTGATTTCTGGTGGACCAGACCCTGCCGTGGTGCGTAGTGCCGCAGGCATTTGAGTCCAAGGCAGTGCTGGTGTGCGAGCACCACTTCATCTACTCTCAATTAAACACTGTGTCACTACGTCCGTTAACAACAGCGAGTTGCTTTTAGTGGGGGCAGCACTGGGTCTGAAGTGAAAGGTTAATATCCCTGGCTGCAGTTAACTTTTTTTTTTTCCCTCCTGATGATGATTCAGTGCAAGATTTTTAATTAGAAGGGGATGCTACAGGGGGGTGTGTGTGACTGAAGTCAGATGGCAGAAGCAACCTGATTTTTTTTAAGAGTAAGACAGTTTTCTGTGCTGAAACCCCCAGTACCACTTCTACCCTGGCTAAACCACTTGGGGAGCATTTCAGTTTGTTATGCAAGGGACATACTGTGACCACAGCTTCCAAGCACTCTTGTTTGCTTTAAAAAAACCCACACAAAACGAACATGGCTGGAAGGGAGATCCCCTCTTTGCCCATGAAGGTTAACGTGTCCTGATCCTATCCAGGAGGTCTCCAAAGTTCATGAAACACTTGTATTCTGTAGTTCCTGCCCTGTGCTGCTCCGCTGACTTGGCTGTCTATCTGCAAACAAAAGTGCTGCCTGGTCCCACCCAGTGGATAAAGTGCTTTTCCTTTTGCGTAGTCATCGCTGATGATTACAGGGATCTACTGAGGTTCGGGGGTTTTAATGTGGAACGGTTTCCTGATGGGCAGGCTTATTTTGTGTGTGCGTGTGACAGACACTCCCAAAGCTTTCCTTTAAAGTTAGCTCGGGTAGTTTCTCTAGTATTTATGAAGCCTAGGGGAGTCGTTCAAATGAACAAGTGTGAGAAAATGGAACACTGAAAAGTACAGATTAATGACAAATTAGCCAGATAATCTGGTGTAGAATTAATTGAGGAAGAAGAGGCAAGGAAAGACCCTCTTGCCCTGCCAGTGGCAGACAACTGATTGTAGCAGATTAGCCACAAACCAGTAGCAAAACTATTTTCCTTCCTTTTTTAAATGAGTGCTGTGGTTAAGTGAGAGTTGTGGAGGATTAATAGATCACTGTGCAGCAAGTTCTGCTCCAGGTCCTCTTTAAAGAGTAGCCCAGATAGACTAATTAATGGCTGGAGGCTAAAGGGTTCTAGTCTTCCATTTCTAAAAATACCAGTAATTGCTTCAAACACTCCAATATTAACTGTTGTAAGATGAACTCCATAGTGCAAAGTATGTTTTCTAATGAAGGGAATAAGGGAGGATGTCTCTCAGGCAAGTGGACCTGATACGGGTGAACCTATGGAAGCCCCCTGGCGACTGCATGTGTAAGGCAAAGAGCTAAGGTTCTGCGTGGCTGTTCTGGCAGGTGGACACGGGTTAGTTTAGGTCTATGTTTAGGCTTCACAGCATGAGTAAATGTTTTTTGTAAAAGCAGTATATTACTTGTAAGATGAGACCTCCCTGCATCACTCTGCTGCTAGGTCTTGGCTGAGAAGCAGAATAATATAGAGAAGTGTTTTCAAAAGGATTTTCAAGTGTTTGGGTTAAGAGTCCTGCTGTATTGGGTATAAAATTGCTTGTTTCAACAACAGTAGTAATAGAACAAACCACCCTGTGCTCTACGTGACACAGTGGCACAGATTGCTATAAAGATTAGGCGACAGGAGATGACTTTCTTCTCTCTTCTGATGCAACCTTAGCCTTCAGAACAGGGCGGAAATGCAGACTGCTTCATCCCAAGGGCTGGGACCTGTTTGTTTAGCCTTGGACTGCTGCCCAAAAGCCATGCTAGGTGGAGGCACTGAGACTTCCATGTTGGACCTGTTCGCTGATTTAAATTTCCTTTATGTTAAGCCTGGAAGGGACCATTGTGGTGGAGATGCAGACACAGGGCTTGAGTCCCAGTCTCTCTGTAATGCTCACCCCTTGGTTCTTGCTGCTGTGTAACTCTTTAAAAGGCATCCATTCTTGATGCAAAAATGGCAGCGTTGAATCTGGCACACCTTGCATGACATGCCAGGGCAAAACTTCTTGATGGTGAAGGTGTACTCGTGACGTGCTGTCCGCTCGGAGCGGTAGTTGTGATTACCAGAAATTAGGGGCTGCTTGCTTGTGCCTGCACCAGCTCCCTTCTCATGCTTGGCAGTTGCCAGTTTTGTTTTATAAAAGGTGAAGGGAGAAGTTCTGCAGTTGGTTAACCAGAAACATCCACTTTTCTTCCCGAAGGCAAGCTGTACACATCAGCATCTTCTTTAATGGATAATCACAAAACTGGATTCATGCATGAGCAGTGTGACCTTCCTAATATGCATGAAAGTAGGTGAAATGAAAAGAAGACACACAATTCAAGCTAGAGGCAAAGAGTTAGTTGAAAAGCCACACACTGAGTGTTTGTTAATTGAAAGTAAGTGTTAGAAAATAGGTCTCAAAACTGTGGGACTTGCAGGTGCTTGAGCATCTCCATTTCAAAGGAGAGTAAGGCTGGCATCTATAGGAGGAGAGGTGGTAGGTGCAGATAGCTTCTGACAACAGTTGATTATTTTTCATAGCACCTACACAGCATAGAGCATGAAACTTTTTAGGCATAGCTCAAGGTTGTTGGTCTGGGAGTCCTGAGCTTGGCCTTATAGCAAGGAAAGAGAGCAGACTGCTTGTATGCAGACATCACCACCCCTTTGCTCCTAATCCTGCCTAGAATGTTGCCTTGTCTCAGCTGGGCTTAACCTGGGCTTTCTCATCTAAACATGTTCACTAAACCATTAGCTGCTTCAGCTGATCAAGCTCACGTCTCCATTATTGAGAGTGGCAGCAGGAGGATGCAGCGGGCTGCTGTGCTCCTGCACCTGCCCTGGATGCCAGAGGATCTCTGTTTGTCAGCGTCAGAGTGACGCTGATCTGGATTGCAGCTGATGAGAAACTCTGCTCTGTGCTGATGGTACCGACGGTGGCCTTGGGAAGGCAGCGGGAGGGGATGGAGGCTGGCTCTGCAGCCTTCGTGTCTGGAGAGGTTTGAATCAAACAGGGCAGTGATCCAGTGTTGGTGGGAACAGCTTCAGCCTCTCCAAGGAATACTGTATAAAGACGATCCTTCCCTTCTCATCTCTGTGTTTCAGGTCTGGCAAGAGGATTAAGAAGACCAGGAAGTACGACATTATCACCACTCCAGCCGAGCGGGTAGAAATGGCTCCTCTGAATGAAGAAGATGATGAGGATGAAGACTCAACAGTGTTTGATGTGAAATACAGGTACTGCTGTGAGCCCGTCCAGTTAGGCTTGCTCACTAAGCTCTTGTCAGTGAAGACAGCTCTTTTTTTCACTGCTGGGCCAGCTTGGCAGAGATGAGGCAGTCACAGACTCCTTTCACTTTGCCCAAGCATTATCACTTTCCTTTGCAGTCCCTCTGCCAGTTCTCAGCACACATTGCTCTGTGCTTTTGTAATAACTGTGTCTCTGCCCCTAGGCTGTCTGCCTTCCTCTTGCCATCTGCAGAGCAGTGCAGTGGGGTACCTGTGCCCCAAACAGCTAACAAAGTTTAACAGACTGAACCTCCCCTCTCTGGCAGCTGCTGGCAGTTGTTCTGTGTGCTCTCGCTGTCTGTGCACGCACTGGATGGAGGCCTGTGGGTCAAGGGCTGCTTTCCCAGGCGCTGCTGGTGCCGTCAGCTTGGGAGGGAAATTATGGTGAATCTCCACCAACCTCTGGGTTTGTACCAGAGTGCTCTCCTGTTGCTCTGTGGCAGAGAGGACTGTGGTCCCTCGCTGATGTTGGTAGCAGTTATCCCTTAGCAACGAACTTTCCTTAAATGTATTTGTCTGTTTGAGAGAGAAGTGGTGTGACAACCCAAAACTTTTGGAGCCTATTCTGGGCCTGAGATTTATAGCAACCACTCAGCACAGAAAGATGCTGCGCATTGATTTATGGCATCAGGATATCTGCACCTCTTATTTTTATTTGCATCAAGCCATTCGCAGCATTTGTGCTGCATTCTCAACCAAATAAGGCCTGCTCTAAAATCTGTCTCACTTTGGCTGAAATAAGCTCTCCTAATTACAAAAACACAGATCTTGACAACTCCTAACTGGAGATTTCACAGACTTTACTCATGTTGCCCATCTCCTAACTTTGGAAAAGGGGAACAACATTTACTCTAGGCACATGTGTACCAGCACCTAAAAGACATACCACCGCATGCTCTGCTGGTTGTTTTCAAAATAACTACTTTAGTTCTCTATAAAAGTCAGGCAACAATTGGAAGCCATGAGACAATGAAGGGTGTGAGTCATGCCTTTATGTGTAAATAATTCGTTCTTGAATTAGAAGACTTGCCTGTCTGTTGCCATTCTCTGTAGCTGTCCTGTGTTTGCTCTAATAATTTCAGCTGGTGCAGTTTTTACTTTGGGACTGAGCTTTGTTAAACCCAGAGTGCAGAGATCTGTGTCGCCATGGCCTACATTAACAGCCCATGTCTCTTGCCCCTCTTCCTCTTAACTGAGCACTTTGTAAACTTTTGGTAGCAGGATCAGAGGGGTTTTCCAAAGAGTGAGAACAGAAGATTCTCAATCATGGCAGTGCTTCAGGATGGGATGTCTAATAGTAAAATACTGGATGAACAAAGAAGAGAGATTGCTGGGAACCGTCTGACTCGTGAGAGCTGTAGTCGTGTTATCTGACATTGCTTCCCTGGAGCACACACTGTGCTGATGCTTTCACAAAAGTTACTTGCTCTTTGTGGGTTCCTTAGCAGTAGAAATGGCTCTTTTGCCTTGTGTGATGCCCTGTTCGGAGACTGTAGGGCTTTTTTGGTTCTTGGCCAACCAGTCCTCTTCAGCTGTGGGAATTCCTCCTTTCTGCCACAGTACAACAGCTATTAAATTCCACGTTTTCTGAAGTCCTTGCTGTTTCAGAAATATGTTTGTTTAGCTCAAACAGAGCTGCCTCAGTTTAGAGGGAGAGATTATTTTACAGAAAACCCCTTAGCAGTACTGATGTGAGGAAAGTTTCTTTGAGGATGCATGTAAAAGGTATCGAGCTCTCTGGTTCCTTTGTGCAGCTTTTGTGCAGCTTGGAGACTGTATCCCCAAACAGTTCCTATCTCCTGTCACCAGTGAAGACACTTCTTTGCAGATCTGAATTGCTGATCTTGACCACTGACATCCCTGTTAAACCAGTCAGGAGGTTCTTCATAGGTGATTCTGTTCAGATGGGAAGAGAGGGCTAGAGCTGCAGAAGGGGCATCTCAGGCATGCCCACAGTAAGTCAGTGAACTACTACCAGGTCTTCTGTTGGGGTTCCTTCCCTAGCCCCCACCCAAACTGGCTTTCAGGAAATAGTTACCTTGTGCCAACAAAGGCTGCCTTTGTTTTTTACAGCTGAGTGCAGATTCCAGGAAGGCAGGGGAAGGAGAGGTAACTTCATCGCTCTCTGTACATGCAGGTAGCTACACAACTGGAGAGATAGGTTTGTTTTGAATATTCAGCAAGTGCCTACAGCTTTAAAAGGGCCTTCATTAATTGCTAAGCCAGGAAAACTACTTCCCCTCTCCATTATCTCAGAAAAAATAATTAAAATGTGCAGATGCATCAGGTGAACTTGCAGAGGTGTCATGAGGGCTGATGCATAAGGAATGGGGTGATACTGCTGTTTCAGCTTGTTAGCCAACTAAAGCAACATGTCATGAGGTGCAGCAACCTGGACGCAGTTGTGATGGGGACAGAGGAGTGACAGGGGTCTCCTGGCAAGTACCCACAGGCTAAAATATTCCGCACTCTCTTTTTTATCTATTTATTTTTAAATTCAGATGAAGGTGTATCCTTGCCAGCAGTCAGTATCACTTGTGGCGGCTGCTCGGGTTTATTCAGGCTGCCTCCCAGCAGCAGGGCTTGCTTGGATTATGGCACAACAGACTTCTGGCCTGTCTGGGTGAGGGGATTTTGGCCAAGTGCTGCTTTGACCGTACCATTGCTGGGACTGCTTTCGGAGAGGCTAAACCTCATGCAGCCCCGTGCTGCAGCACAATCCACTGGAGCAGCGCCATGTCTGGCAAGAGTCATTATTCTGATTTCCTCAGTTTTTTATTTCTTTGCAACACGCTGGTACTGAACACTACTGAACACAACACTAGGGCTGGGCTGCTCATTCTTCAGTGTTGTAACACATGTGCTGCCATATGTACATCAGAAACCAACTTTCCATAGCTGTTTAAACCTAGAATTTTCAAAGTCTCCCTGGCTCCTGAATATCACAGAAAATCAAGTAGAATCTTTTGTCCTGTTCATTTTTGATATAACAACTGTGAAGCTATAGAGAAAACGGTCCATTTTACGTAAAGTAATGATTTGCAATGGTGTTGACTCAGTGCTTTCCGCTAGAAAGGCACCAAAAGTATTTTTAAAATACAGGCTTCTGAGAAAACATGGGATTGGAGTGAAAAGGTAACCAGTTTTCCAAAGAGCAACGCAGCAGGGACGTGTTGGCTGTGAAGGACTATAAGCATTATTCAGTTCAAGTTTACTTATATGTACTGTAAGACAATCCTATGCTTTCAGATCTCTGGGGTTACCACCAGCATGGCAGTAGGGAAAAATGTGAAGAGCTGGCCTGCAGTGCCATGACATTAGGTACCTCCTGTGCATGATAGTAGGTACATTACTCCAGTATTAACTTACTCTGACTGATACGCAGGTCATAAATAGTATCATGTTTTGGGTTTGTAGCATAAGTCTTCGCTGAGGATGATGGGGGCAGGCTCTGGGTGGATTATTTGAGGTTCCCTCTCATCACTGAAATATCTGCACTGGCACTTGCATCTGTATTTGGGGGAGTAATTGAGATTCTGTGCTGTCTCCCCCACGTAATGCAAACTGCACTCTAATTAAAAGGCAGTTGGTGTCTAGCAGCAACAGGGGAGAAGCGACATATACCTCTCCAATTGTTCTCGTGCCATTAATTTTCTTTTCTTTAATGCTTTGTCCTTGTGTGTATTTGTTTCCAGTCTTACATGAAGCATCAAAGAACAGCACAGTGTAAATTGGGCTGCTGGATGAAGGTTGTTACTTTTAAAATATTTTTTTTTTTCAGGAGGCTTTAAGGTTTTGGGCTCCCAGTAGATCCCATCCCCCACTTCCCTTGGGCTGTGGAGCAATGAGAAGTAACCACCTTCCTCCTGTAAAGCAGACTAATGAGACCGTTTCAAAATCTTAACCAAACACAGTCCTTTCTGCCGATGCAAAAGCCACCCACTGCCTGCCTCTGATAAATGCAGAAGCGTGCATGTGCCGGATTAGATACCTGCTTTGCGATCTCATTTCAGTAGCAGGGAAGCAGTTCTGTCAATGGCCTCTCTAATCCTGCAAGCACAATTTCTGTGTGGCAGGAGTCTGCAAGTGTAAATCAAAGATTGTCACAGAGCAAAGATGTCAAATCACTTAGACATTAACACCTCCTCGAAAAGCTTCATGGAAACCAATTTTTTTAATATGGAGGATGGTTTTCAGTATGTATTTGGCATTGAAAGAGACATTTGGATAAGAAGCTCAGGAATTGTTCTGAAATTATTATAGAGCTACACAAAGAAACCAAACCGAACATGGAAGGGGTGTTTGTTTCTTGATCACCAGTTCAATCTGTGCTGCTGAAGGCTGAATGGTATCCCTGTCCAATTGATTTTTGGACCATATGAACTGTATTGGTCATTATTTTCCAGATGTCAGATATTTTTTCATTTTTTATGACGGGATTACACTTGCTGCACATCTTGGAAAATGAGTTAGTGGAAAGCTAAATCCCATCCTCCAAGTGTACCCTTTCTCATCACAACAATAGATCTTGATTTTAAGATTTCCCTCTCCTCTTTGCTCCTTTAGCACTTTCTTTCAAGAAGAAAAGGGCGGGCTGTGCAGGTCTCATGATCTTCTATTTGATGGAGCTAAGCCATTGATTCACCAGGCAGTTGGCACTGTGTGATTCTTGAGAAGAGAGGAGCAAAGTAATGTAGGTTACAGGCAGATGTCTCTGACAAACTGGTGTTAGTGTCCATCCCCCATCACAGAGCGCTCTGCTTGTTTTGTGTAATAAAAGAGGCTAAAACAGCTGCAAAAAGAACAAGTTTCTGAAAAGGTAAATAAAATTGTTAGCTTATTAAACTTATTAACTCTGGCATAGCTCATTGGGGGATTTCTTGTCAGCCTCAATAGAAAACTGAAAACAAGTACTGAATGAATTCTGTGGCGCCTTGCACATGAAAGGTTTTGAAAGCACTTCAGTAATCTGGGATATCAGCAGTGTCTCCTCTCCCTGCTGGCTTGCAGCTGTTGGAGGCAGTGTGTTCTGCTCTTGCTACGCTTGCTGAGCCCAGCTGGGTGAATTTCACAACCGTCCCCACAGAGCAGTTTGAGTCTGGGGTGATATGTGCCACGGAGAGCCTGGAGCCGGGAAAGAACTTGGAATTTAAATGCTAGAACTGGAATTGTCCCAGTCCCAATGGCAGGCTCCTAAATAAGTACTGAAAGACAGTTTGTCTTGGGGTGAATTGAAGCTTCCATCCTTTGTGTTGGTTAAGTGAAATTCCTCAGTTTGTTTTTACACATGGATTGTCATTTTTCCTTCTAACAGTAGCAGCACCAGCAAAACGCAGAAGCAATTTAGGAATGCATCTTCCTAAGTGCTCTTGAAAACAGAAAGATTTATGTGTAAGAAGTGATGGCAGACAGAGGAAAGAGGACAGGAACATTTATTCCACCATCATGGGACTAAAGGGCTTTAGAGAGCTTGCAGGATGTTTTAGAGGGAAGATGCACCACATGTAGGGGCTGGATTCTTGATTCATGCCTTTTTCAGGTGCCGATAGCATTGAACTGTTTGAAAACATCTTCATCACAGTTGCAGGGCTCAGCCTTTGATGTGCCCGAGTCTTCTGGGAGTCTCTGTGAAATAGGAGTGTTACACTGTTGGTGTCTTCTCTTTGAATACGTCCTTCCCAGATCCTGACTGTGAGTGCAGCTCTGAATGGAGCGTGGTATTGTCTGCTTGTTACAGCAAGGTGTTGACTCTCAAGGGAGCAGCTCTAATGGATTTTTTTGCCAGTGAAAGCTGCAGGCTATTCTGGATGATGCTAGGTGAATTGCGCTGGGTATTGTAGTAGCTTAATTTATTTTTTTTTTCTCCAGCCGGCAGCAGTGACAAGTTGTGTATAAATGGAGGGGTATCATTTATCCTCATCTGAAGGGGGTACAAATCACTAACACAGTCAGCTGTTTACTGTAAATACAACAAATTGCCAAAGCTTTGGTGCTGCTGTTAAGGATTTCCCATGGGTCCACAGCAGGGAAGGAAAGAGATGGTCAAAAAGCAATTTTTGTTTGGTTTTTGAAGGCCATGTTCTTTCCTCATGCAGCTGTAACCATTGTCCACATTCTGCGGGCTTGTTCTGTTGATTATACACTGGCCGTGCTGTCTTGTGGGAGGACTCTCACCTCCTTCATGGAGTGTAACAAGTTCCTATTAAGACTTTTTTTTTTTTTAAAAAAAATCCCAACCCTGAAGCAGTCAAAGCAGTAGGGTGTAAGGAGGAGAAACCATAGCAAGGAGGATAGTCCATGTGTGTTGCTTAGTGAAGGACTGCACTTGGTGTATGAAAAAGCTGTGGGGTCCAAGATGTTGTTTCAATTGCAGCCCTCTCTGCACGCTCCCTTCTCTGGCCTGCATGGTGGCTGGTCACAGGGCCTTCCAGCATCTGGGGTTTGCCTGATATAACTACTTTTTTCTTTGCTTGGTCTAGCTTCTCCTGGCATGGTGTTAGCATCACATCAGTGCCCAATGTCGCCATAGAAATCAGCTGCTGGAGGGAACTGATGGCAGTCACAGTGAATAATGCTGCCTTTTTCTTTGTGGCTTTTTGGATTGTTTTTTCCACTTTGCACATGGGTTCTCATCTCTGCCTGTGAGTTATTTAGTTGCAAATCTACAGCTAATTCTTTCTGCTTTCCAGGTAAAGCAGCTCCATGGAGACTTGGTGCCCTGCAAGATGTCATTCTGCTGTTGAGGGACGTGCTGAAGCCATAACTGTGAAAGGGGAGGCTTTCATCTCTGCAGCGTTACAACCAAACCAACCAAACCTCCTCGAGGTGCTGTTTGTGCAGCAGGCTATGGATCTTCTGACCAAAACGTCACCATTCGGTTCCCTGGTTTCCAAACTGCTGTGTTGGAATGACCAGAGTTCCTCTTTGCAAACCCAGCTCTCTCTTGCTTCAGGAGGGCTGTGGTGTCACTAAAGCATGACAAGATGCAGCCCCACGTACCGATTCGCATTATGGTCTAAATAAGTTTTGCAGAAGGAAGAGGACAAGGAAGACTGAACCAAGCTGCCCCAAGGACTTATTTTCTAAAATCCTAATTCAATGCTTCAGTCACTGTTAAACTTTGGTTGTTGTTAAACAGATTACATGTTTAAAAAAAAAAATCAAAAATTTTATTTTTTTGGCCTACAGAGGTGACTTACAACTTTAGGTGGTAAAAGTGTAAGCCATGCTGAAATACCATGCTGTATGTTTAGTGTAGGATTTTTTTGGGGGTAGGGAGTGAGAGGTTGATTCATGTCTTGACTTGCTACTGATTTTTTTTTTTATTTTTAAAACCACAATTGCACTAAGCTTTCATGATGACATTCTCATTGTCCCAAGGAGCTCTGGTCAGACCAACTTCAATAAATGAGACCATGGGGAAATAGGAAGAATCGGGCATGTCCTAAACTACAACAGTCTTGGATTAAAGAAGATATATTTTTGTAATTTTCTGCCCTTTCACAGGGAGTAAAAACAGTGTTTTGTACTGTCCTGTGCTGACTTGTAACTTGTCTACAATTCATCTGTATTACCTTTTTTGTAAGCAAAATAAGTCCTCATGTGGAATGATTAGATTGCAGAAAGAACACCTCTTATTTTTCGTGGAAGCTTCATGTAAGTGATCTTAATCTGTATCAAACTGGAAGTTTTCCCCTACCACCTGCTTGACAAATCACATTTAACTCAAGGATGCATTTTTAACCATCACTCCCTGCTGTGCTTTGTGCTGCAGAGGTCAGAGCTGTGGGATGACACTATGAGAATTAGATTGCTGCATCTGGTTAGATTGGGTTTAGGAGACCGCAAGCATGTACACTTCCCAGCCCCTCGTTATAAAGGGCAAGCCTAACTGCTTTAGTTTCTTTACTTTGTGGTTTTCCTTTAAAGTAACCACAGAGGCAGTTCAGACTTTACTGTTTACTTCACCCCTCAATACCTTTTATTTTTGGTTTTTAAGCTGGCTAGAACCTTGCTTTTCTTGGGGAACGTATGTTTTCCAGTTGTTTTAGGATTGTCCCACTGTTTGCTTGACCCTCTACTAGCCCCCTGCAGTTACAACCCCTCAAGGAGCTGCAGAGTTTCTGGCAAAGCATCAGTGTTGCTGGGTTTTTTTTTTTTTTTTTTTTTTGAAGGCCTGTTGGGGTTTGAGGCTTGCTGAGAACACTGAACTGTTTTGTCATGATACCGTGACCTATGCCAGTTCTGTGCGGTTCCTTTGGGCTCTGCAGTCAGGAAAAGGAGGTGAAGGGGAATTTCTTTTTTTTTCCTTCCCAGCAGCCTGGTACTTCCATCAAAGAAGCTCCCATAACACAGCTTGCTTTCCCTTGCTGTGACTCAGCAAAGGCTTTGCAAACAGCCCGCTTAGCATGGATGGAAAAATCCCACAGCAGACTGTTGGCTTAATATTACTCATCAAGGCAATATAAAAATGCTATGTTACTTTCATTCATGGAATGAGTTTGAGTCATTCCGTATTACTGTTACTAAGCAATATTTAACTTGTCAGCTGTGAGGTGAGGATGGGGCCAAGCAGGTTGTGTTCTGGCTGGTAGGAATCGTTGGTACCAGCAGGTTGAACAATGCTGTGAGTTGAGATAAGATCTGGGGTTCTTCCCCTGCCTAGGTAAAACAGGTTTCAGACTTAGTCTGAATGATTCTGAAGGAAATACTTTGCCTTTTTAGGACTAAAGTACTTTGAAGACCAGGAATTGAACTTCTTAGGCAGACTGAGTCCTTTTGAAGTCAGAGAAGTGACGATGCTGAGAGAGGAGAGAGAGGTTAAAAGCTTCTGTCTGCATTTGTGGAAGGAGGTGATGGAGTGAAGTGGCTGCCCTGTCTGAGCAGACACCATGGCAACATGTTCATGTCCACTCTTCTGCCAAACTCATCAAACTGAGCATTATGTGCTCTGGATGAGTGGTGGAGAGGGAATGCAAACCTTCTCTTTGAACAAAAGAAAGGCGAGACCAAGTTACGTAGGAGAGAGATGAGAGGAAAAGGTGCATAAAGGACACTTCAAGGGTGAGTCAGTTCTTGAAATCAGGAGTTTTCCCAACAACTTCAGGTCACTTGCTGATTTAGGCTGGCAAAGGCCATCCTCTCCCCTTGCTTGTGGCTAAAAAATCCCACCATTTCTGTAACGTGGCCAAATCTCAATGGTGGATGGGGACCAGCTGTTTGAGATGTTGAAGATGGAGGTGCTCAACACTCCTTGAGGAGGTCCCGAACTGTGTGCCATAAGCTCAAGGTGCTGATAGGGAAGCAGCAGCCGCTGGGTGGAAATAGAAGGCCAACCTCACCAGTTGCTCAAGGTCATGAAAATAATCTGAACGCTTTGTTTGATACTCAATTGCTGTTGCAAATGTGAGGCAATGTTTACCTCTACAGAAGTTGCTGTATGTGATTTAAAGTGTCTGGTTAAATATTCTATAGCTATATTTAGTTAAGATTTTAAGAGCACTTGATGTGACTCATCTAATAGTATATATATGAATATTTTTTTAATGGTAGGAATTAGTTTTAATAATTTGAACTGTTTGGTTCAGGTAGTTCTAGGAGTTCATCAGAGAAGAAATAGCCATTAACCACTACATGAGTGTTTTACCTTAATGTTCCGTGTATCTTAACACTACAGATTTAATCTGATTGTGACTGTAATGTGTTTTAGTATCTGCTGCTATTTTGTGTTGCATAGTCAAAACTTGCTTTGTTCAAGAGCATTTTTAGAGGCTTTTTTTTTTTTTGTTACAGAAAGTGAAAAGAGAAACGTTATTACAGATGTTTGCCTGTAACTTGCTCACTGCTTACAAAATCTTCTACTAGTAGCAGAGTCAAACAGAGCAGGCAAATTAGAGGCTTTCCTGTTTGTGCTTGCTGTGCTGTGGAGGAAAAGCCCAGCGCAGTATTGCAGCTTCTTTAACTCCAACCACAGCCCTGTCACCAGGGATTATGTTTGAGAAGCCTGAAGTTGCTGTGCCATGCTTGCCTGCAGAATTAAGTCAGAAGTACACAGATAGCTTTGTATTAGTGGTTTGTTTTGTTGTTTGTTTTTGTTTTTTTTTTCTTTTTCCTCCTGGAAGATGTGGAGATGACTTGTTTAGTACACTAACTTGTGCTATCCTAATGCTTATCTTAAGCCCAGACTGGCTTGGAGAAGTCTACAAGCACTAACGAAGCTTGAACACACAAGCGCTAAAGCATTCGCCGGTTTTGTGCGAAGCTGTTCCCTCTGATTCACTGTACGTGGTATAATCTCTGCAGGGTAGCAGGCAATGGTTTTCATTAAGAGTTTTTTCTTCTGTTAGATGAGTTGTTGCTGCTGCATTTTTTGTGTGAGGAGTTATCAGGACCATGCATTTTGTTTTGTGCAATTGCTTGAACTTTTTAAAAACAAATGTTTTAAGAGAATTTTTCATTGCGACCAAAGCTTCTTTTTAAGAAAAAATTGGTAAGACAAGTTTGAATGGACTTCTCATGTTTCAGTAGAAACTGCCATCATTAAACATGTTCTTGAAATCCCTTGTGTTGTGTGTGTATGTTTAAGGAGGGAAGGGGAAAGGGGCTGTTGCTTGTGGAAGTTTGGTGAATTTGAGAGCACCTTGTGTGATGCCCCCTTTAGAGGGCTGCAGGACCCTTTGTCCTGTGACCCTGAACAGAGCGTGACAAGGGGGGAAAATGGTTTTACCAGCATGGTAAAGGAATATGTTTAATCACACAGAGTCTCCATCAGCCATCAAGAAGCTAGGCTTTTATCTGGATTCAAAAGGCAAAATCCTCTGCGAAAGGGAAGATGCCTCAGTACCTTTGACTGCAGCTGTGTTCTGGACCTTGGAGCCCGCACAGACTGTAGACCTGTTGTCACAGCCTCCAAGCCCAGCTGAGTGGGCCGAGCCATGTCCCCTCCCTGGGGTGGCCAGGCCACACCACAGCCGTTAAGCAGACTTCCTCTCACTACATCTATGTTTGACCAAGTTCCCTGGCTCTGAAGCAATTTTGCCTTGTGGCTTTCAGGGCATGGTGAGATGCTGAAGTGCTGGACATAAGGATCAGGGCAATCTGAGGCTTGTTTGTTTGTTGCTGTGTGTGTTTTAGCAGTATTCTCAAGGCTGTTTTCCTCTTGCACTGTTTTTACAAGGAGTGCTGACCCTGGAGCAGCCACAGGACAGATTGATCCAGTACCCTGAGCATGAATCAGTTCTGCCTCTCTCCTCTCCCACATACCATGTGATTGCTCTTGCCTTGATCTTCATCTCTTCAGTAATAGTCTAAGAGTAATTCAGTGCTGCAGACAAAAGGGCAGCTGCTGTCCAGCTGATGCTTTTAAATTATGTCCCGACAGTAAGGTAAAGCTTAATCTAATTCAAAATACTTAACAAAATGCTATTAGGCCTCAGCCACGAGCCAGCTGTTGTGCAGCAAAGCTGGTTTGCGTAAAAAGTTCAAGACCCATCAAGGTGAAATGAACCCCAGCCTAACGCTGAGCTGCGCCTAAACAGAACAGGCTCCTCTTCGCATGGGCTGCAGAAGTGAAGATGCCATGTGATGGAAAGGCAGCAGCTACGATCTCTGGGTGTACTTACCTTTCTGATGAGGTTACAAGTGGAAGATGAGCAAGTGACCAAAAATCTGGTGTAAATTATTAGCTAAATAAGAGCTGAAAAGGTAGAACTCGAAGGTGATGGCAGCTGGGACTCTGCTCAGAAAGGACAAGGCCTGTCTGAATTTTGACATGGGGGAAGCCTGATGCTACAACTAAGTTCTTGCACAACAGTAATTTTCTCAGACAAGTCTTCAGGTATATGTATTTTTAAAATGGATCCTGCTAAAGGGTTATTTCTCCAATATCTGGAAGAGTTCTGCATGGGCCACGGTATAACATGACTTCCCCTCTCTCCTTTAAGTGGCTGTTGTCACCTTTGTACAAGCTGCTGCTCTATTAGCAAGTCTGTGCGCAAGTGTGAGGTTAACTGAACAGAGCTGTCTAATACATATTTATAACCCTGGAAAAGGGAGGGGGTACTTCCTTGTGTCTCTTAGTGATCTTTGGATGCCTTGAGACTGGTAACTGCAAAATTGTCAGCAATGTTTGGCAAGTGCTATCACAGAGAAGTTAGTTTAACGCTGAGATGATTTGAATTATGCCTGACAACAAGGTCTATTGAGAGTATGGAAGAGGAATAGCTCTAATTACTTAAGACCAAGTAGTCTGTAACTAGGCTGCAGGAAAACACCATTGAAGATGGTTAATCTCCCCATCAGATGGCAATTACCAATTTCTAAGACACCAGAAGCTCTTCCAGCTCTGCTTTCTAACAGACATCTCCTCTCAGTTGGGTCGCTTCTCCAGTGACTGTTTGCTCATGGTGTGTTAAATGAGCTGAAAAACAGCTCTTCAGTTCAAGAAAGCAGTATGAAATGGGTGGCCGTTGCTTTTAAAGCTAAGAAGGAAAAGGTCTTAAAAATCCAGATGCAGTTCTTCATGGCTTTATGAGGCATAAAGCTGGTTTCGAGGCTTTTTGCTCCCATCCCCCCTTCCTGGTTTCTCATAAACCATCTTGTTCACTCACTTCCTTCCACGTTGGGGGACCGGCAGCATGGGGGAGCCCAGCTCCCCCCAGCCCCAGGGGGAGAACCTGCTTAGGCTGCGGGTGGGCAAGGCAGGGGCAGGCAGGTCCTGAGGGGCTTCAACAGCTGCTTTGCAGCTTCAGCCAGCACGGTTAATCTGTATTTTGGAAGAGATTGCAAACTTAATTGCCAGCCTTCAAAAGCTGCCAGCTCTGGTTTGGGAATACACTCCTAGCTGCTGCCTGTCACTGCCCACTCCATCCTTCCCAGTGGTGGAGGGAACCCACTGATCTGCACGTGAGGCAAGGACTAGGATTCCCTGGCCGAGGGTTCAGCTTTTAGTGTGCAGACAGGGGACTGCTGGTTTGAAGGATGAGGAGGAAGAAAGATTAGATGACCTACTGCACTATTTCAGCCAGGTCGATTTATTTTAAGGCTTTTATATGAAGGGGAACACATATCCACTTAAATCTCTTCCTGACTCCTCTGGGTTTCTTACACTGGCTCTTTCTAGATAATTTAATTCAATGTACATGTTGTTATTCTGGCCTAGCAACAGTTTAGCAACAGATACCTGCTCAGGACCTTTACCATCTTCTCTGCGTTAGGCAGCACAGAGCATCCTTGGGGACTCCCCTTCGAAGCCTAAAAGCCAGTGAAATACCTGTGGCAACACTCCCCCTTACACACAGCTGGAGAGCGACTTGCTCCAGGCTATAGGATCACAGAAGCCAAACTCTCTCCTCTAGACTTGTTGTCCCTGCTCACAGCAAATCCTCAGCTGCCAGTTCCAGGTGTGTGTTTCTTGCCGGGTAACAAGTCTGTTAAAGGGACACAAGGTGGCTTGCATTGATGTGTCTGGTCCTCATCAACTCTGCTGCCAGCCCAGAATAATTGCTGCACTGCTGCTGAGCAAAAATAAATAAAATGTTTTGAATCATCGTTGGTTCCTTGAAGCATCACTTTGCCTCCCCCCAGCTGTTCCTGCCATGAGTTTCCAGACTGCTTCTGCCCTGATACAAACATATTTAGCTGAAGAGAAGCTCTTCTTTACAGACACTTTTCTCTTCTCATGCCCTCAATTCATAAAGGTTTATGCTCAGGTCAAGAACATTTGACATTTCCTCACTTCATTTCTGTCTGGCTGTCAGCAGAGTTGTCTCAGCAGCACCTTTTGGACAGTGTCTGAAATTACCCAGCTCTCTCCATCTCCTTGTGTAAGGGCTCCTACCGTACAGATCCCAGTGGCATCAAGATGTTTTTTAGGTAAACAGAAAAAACAGTCTATTTGGGCAAATTTCTCCTGTTTCCTCTCCTTGATCTGATAAATATTTTTGGGGGGTCAGACCAGTTCCTCTTGTTGATGGTGCAGCAATGCTCCCAAAGCTCAGAAGTGAATGTGGTGGTCCCTGCCTTTCTCCCCCTGCAGCCCCATTTGCCATCCAGCTTTCTCTTTCTGCCACCAGTTTCCCAGTTACTTTACTTCCATCCCCAACTGCTGTGGGTTACCTACAGATTAGCAATGCCCTTCTGGATAAAGCTATGGTGAAGGAGAAATAAGGCTGTTTCTTTTGGAGTAATCAGGCAAAATATCATTTCAATGGCCTACTGACAAGGATGGGTCTTGAAGAAAAGCAGATATTGCCAAGAGCGCTCCTGAGATCCTCAGGACCTACGAATCCCCAAGGCTGACTCAGCGACACAAACCCACCAGCTAATAAAAGCCACATGCCCAGCCTGTACAGCAGCGATGAATATCCATCCTCAGGCACAGGACAACTGTACGATGCTCCAGCTCTCACCCTGTCCCTAAAACAACCATAGGCTTGGGTATGGAGTTTGCAGGTGTAGGATGCAGAGGATGTGCTACGCCATAAATCAAAACCCTCAGAGGTGACATTTGCTGTGGTCAGTGCACAGTCACCCTCGCTTCTCCTCTTGCATGGCCGTGGATCACTGCTGGTGGTACTGCTTGGTAACCAGCAAACTTCAATGGGGCTTAATTCAAGGTTCCAGCCTGAGCTCCTGTAGTTAAGACTCAGGTCTATTTAAACACTATTAGCATTCCTGAAGCTTAAATAAAACAATAGTGCCCCCCAGGATACTTACAGACAGGGTGAGATTTTTGCTGAAGAGCTAGCTGCTATTTAATGAGCTCTTCAAATGAGCAACTTACTCTGTCCCTATGTGTATATGTAATATTTTTAAAATCACATATTTACAGCGCATTGTTTGCTACAGTTCAAGGAAACAAATGATTTGCTTTTAACATAATCACTATCAGAAGTAAATTATTCAGCATTTGCTGCTTGGAAGTTAAAAAAGGAATCTGAATTTCTTTTTGGTTTCTTCCTCTTTTTTATAATAGATATACAAGCTGCAGGGCACACTTTTATGCTTCTGTAGCCAAGATTTTGTAGAATTGACTAATAATCTATTTTGCATATTTATAAACATTTTATTATTTATTAATGGAGCATTTCAGGAGTAAATTTATAATTCTGCCATGTGATCTCAGCCCTTCAGAGAAAAATGGTTGCTCATGTCAAAGAGTTGGAAATTAGAGCTGGCATAACAAAGAAATGAGTGAGAATATCTCATTAGTGTGAAAGCAAACAGGCAAGAGCCTTTTGCGAGCATGAATACACAAACGTAAGATGGCTCAGAAAACCCACATTAGATGTCAAATACAGAACACGGCACTCAGGATCTATCAGTTCCCTGCTCTGCTTCCTGTAAACCCACAAGAACATAGTGCAGCCCTACAGCTGTATAAGAACATTTGTCCAACGCACCCTGCGCTCATTCTCTAAGTTGCTGTTACTGCACGTGGCCACTCCATCTCCAGGTATTTTAAGCTTCAGGAGTTTTGAAGGTGCACAACTACACATATGTTTTTTGATACCATCACTGCTTCAGTTAAAGATAGAAAGAGAACATCCTCTAGGTGC